GCACGTTTTCATGCCAACGCAAAATACTTGCTTGTAATATCATAGGGGACAAAATACTCCTTAATTTTGGCACAAAATTTCAGCGTTAATTTTAAATTTCACAAGTGAAATTACAAAATTGCCATGGCATGGTAACATCTCTTGTATCTCGATCAGAGCCAAGATGGCGTCGAGATTTAAGACGGTGACCCTTGAAGAAATTACGAAATCAAAAGAAGCGGCCGAAAATTATTAACAGCCGCGAAGAATTCGAAAGGTATTTTTTGTGAAGAAACTCAGAAGATTACGAACTTAACAATGATGAATGTTTTAAACGAAAACTATATCCTTCTTCATGTTATCGGTTTTCGATAGAATAAACCAGTAAAAACAATTAATTACGGTTGTGAACGTAATTTGTCGCCCACGATATTAAAAGGAAATCAAATGGTTTTCTCGTGAAATTAGGAAATAATTTCACTTGCGTTTTGTCAAAATTCTAATAATTTACCTCGCCTAAGGGCTTATCAGAATTTTGACAAAACGCGCTTGAAACTATTTCCTAAGTTCACTCGTCGCCATTTGATTACACCTACTAATTGTGCATATTAAAAGAGACTGGAAAAAGTCAAATCGTATATTTCATGAGAACGGTAGGGTTCTTTTCTGGTTCACCTGAAATTGGGCGTATCCAGATGACTTCACCAGTGGGTTTGCACTCACTTCCTTAATTAGACAGTTGTCCTAAGCTAGTCCAATAGCCAAAAAAAAAAGAAAACTTTGAGTTATTGCTTACTGAATTTACCTTCTACCCTATTCGACAAGCAAACAATTTGCTTAATGCTTGCATCTTTCCTCGCCAATAGGGGACTCAGAAAAATACTATACAGCTCAAAAATTATCCGCTTGTCTTATGATTTTGATGAACCAGCGAATAAGGTGTATTTAGATATTAAAAGCGATGAAAACCAAGAAAAACTGGACCGTTAAATTTAATTTTTTTTCAGAGAGGGGTGCTTCTATTAAAAAATTATGAGCCGATAATAAGATTTAGAAACTGATGTGAAGACCTTTACACAGGTTCAAGCCATAGGCCCTTATCGATTGTGTTAGCTTAAGTTTTGGCATGATTTGGAAAAACCAGTATAATTTTTGCACTTTTTCTAAAAGTAGCACTTCTAACATAATCAGCATATTTTTAGTTTTTTTTGAGGAAACGTTACCAGAGTCGTAACTTGCTTGGTCAGAGTCTAAGATTGACTATTTTCAAGTTCATAGTTCAGTGTATTTTCATTCGTCTGGGGGGAGGGGAAGTAGGTTACTGCAATAATGCGTCGTTAGTCGTCTAGAGGACTGGGCGAACCGGAAGCAAATATTGCGTCGGTCCCAGTTCCCGCTTTCACGGGCAACAAAATGGCGTCGAGCAACTTAGAAGGAGAACGGCTGCCTGAGAGGAAACGGTTTTCGGATTAGTTTTGTGCTTTTTATTTTATTTTATTTTTTTTTTTTTGAGCATACATTAAGGAAAAGTAGCATAATTTTCAAAAACGAGCATAATTTGGAAAAATATCGGGCACTGCTAGTAGCATAATAAGCTACTTTTACTAGCACAATCGATAAGGGGCTATCAACCCAATATCTCCCAATGTGTTGCTTTCTAATGTATGAACGTAATATTCGTTACTTATGTAACGATTACTGCAGCTGAATAATGAACTGCAATTACCTAAATTCTATCAGATCAGAATTTCGGCCGAAAAACAGTCATTCAAGATACAAAATGTCAGAGTCGCACATGGTGATAATAAGCCTCCCTCTTGGAAATGGAGTTTGTTAACTGAATCTTTGTCTATTTGTTTTTTTTTTTTTTCTAACTGGGAATCATCTCATTCTCCAAACACGCCTTTTAGGGACTTGTCCTACAATCAGTTGCAGAGTTTGCCTCGAGGGATACTAAGCAATAATACCGACCTAAAAGTACTGTAAGTAGGACTTTTCTTTGTTTGAAAAAGGTTTACCGGTCAGATATTAACATTCATAGTTGGTGGTCCAAAATTAGTTGGAAATATCACTTATATCCAGCTTTTTCGAATTGAGCCTCGTTTGGAAATTAACGATTGAGAGTAAAGTAGTGGTCAAGTGATAGATGTCATAACACAATGAAGTGTCATCCTGCCATTTTTGTCTTAACAGAAGGTCTCTCAGCGTTATGTATGGAATAAATATGTCCTTTGAGTCCAGTTGCTGCATATTGGAGATTCTTGGTCATATTTGATATTTTCAGAGACAAAAAATTAAAAAATTTAATTTCCTGACTCGGTAAAAAAATAACTACTATTGTACTATCAGCTAGCCGATTTTGGCTCCTGTCCAGCACACAAAATACGTTAAGGATAAGGAGTGGGACTGTCCCATTTTTTAAGTAAAATTTATGTTCTTAAATGTTAGCTTACTATATGTCTCAATAAATACTCTAAGGGATTTGTCATACAACAAAATTCAGCGTCTTCCCGAAGATGTTTTTGGCAACCTTACTCGGATGAAAAGGCTGTAAGTGGCATTTTGTTACAGCGAGTGAAACCGTGCATTTTTTTTGTTGTTGAGGTTTCAGTAAAACCTTTTCACTGTGGCCATTCCAAATAGAATGCTAAAACTGTTCGACTATTACAATCCACATATCAATTTAAACTGCCCCATACGCTTCACTAGCTTCAGTATATAACAGGGTAGAGAGAGATTAGAACACCTCTCCACCCCGGTATATAATGCTAACTTTAGTGGATTTGGTCATTAACAGCAGTTAAAAGAAAATATAAATGAAAAAAAAATATTTCGACTGCTGCGCTCAGTCTTTTTCTCCACTTTACAGGACACTTAATTTTTTTCTGGCCAAGCGATCGGGGAAGGTTTATAATGTTACGTTTAACTTCCACAAGATTGATTTGCGATATGAGCAACACTTTGAATTCATAGTTTCGATGCACCAATACGGAGAAGCGAATTCATATCATTATACGCAAACGACCATTTAAACAACGGAAGTACAAATGGCACCTTTTTTTCACATTCTCAAGATTAGGAACAAAAGGTTTAGTTACTCAGCTAAGATGTATTACCTTGCAAATAAACAGTTAAGTTTTATTGTAAATTTACGAGGTCCCTTCAATGACATAATAAAAGGCTATCCGAGAGTCTCAAATACCAATGCAGTTGACTTATTTTTCAACTTCTTTTGTTTCTTTTTTTAAGCCTTCTCTCCAGTAACAAACTTCAGCGTTTGCCAAAGTTCAAAAATCTCTCCGAGATAGAAACTTTGTAAGTGATTCGTGTCTGTGATAAAAACTGGTTTAGTGCGTGTTTTGTTTAATAAGCATTAAACAAAAGGAAGCTTTGAAGTAGTCTACCGATTATTCTTGGGACCTAATAAAAGTTTGTTTAAGGATTTTAATCGAAAAATATGCAGTAACTTTTAAAATAGACGCAGAAAATAAGAATTATCAGGGATCGTGTTTTTAAGGTAGCGCAACATATGGAGGATAGTACATGGCATACAAATTGCTCTTCGAGTTTTAAACTTATCAACACGAGAAGATAAATTTCGTATCTCCAAGTGGCCATGTAATATTCTATTCATTATATAAACAAAATTAAAGAACGAAACCACTTCGCTTTAGCAGCAGAAGGTGCAATTTATGTAGCCATGGTAGCGACGATACTTTCACGTGTGAAGATATATATCTTATTAGACGTTTTGTTGAGTAGTATCGCTGAGTATTTTTACGAGTTGTGCCGTATTTTGACGAGCCCGTAGGGAGACTCAAAATACAAATAACAAGTAAAAATACTCAGCGACACTACACAACAAAACGTCTAATAAGTTATTTATTATCCAACACGCCAAACTATTATTTCAGGGCCGGCGAATTTCGCGGATATTTATTTACGGGGAGTGCGTGACAGAAGTATGCGAAGCGGAACCAAATTGGCGCGTTGTTGTGCTGCTGTTTCTATTTTCTTCAATAAATGACGAAATTTTCTGATCGTCAAGCTGTTTTTTTTTTCGTTCGATTCATCTAATGAACTTTTCCAGCCACTCTGACTCTTCGTCGTCGAAAATATGACTCAAATTGTCCGCCACTTTTTTTTTGTAACTATAATCCAATTCTTCGCTTGCGCGATGCGAGAAAACCTGTTTAACCGGTACTACAATAGACGAGTACAAATACCGCGTGATATCTGTACTCGTCCATGGCGTTATTTGTACTCGTCTGGGTGTAGTTGGAAAATAAAATGTATTCACGCTGTGAAGATATCACGTTTTCGCGCGAAAGCTCAAAAGAATCACAAGGTATTTCATTGATGATATACGATAGTGGTACAGAGCGTCTCGTACATTTAATTTAACGCGTAGATACCTGGAGAACAACAGCCTCGTAACCCTGTCACCGGATCAGTTCCAAGGCCTGTCCAAATTGAAAGACCTGTAAGTAAACCCAGTAGTTTTGTCTGAACGAGGTGGCGAACGGAAATTATACCTAACCGCAATTGTAGTAATTCGTAATCTTACAGGAGATATCTGTAATTAAGGCTCATCAGCTGCTGTCTTATTATTTGGTTCTTTTAAATTTTCTGTTAGAGGACATGCGAATGCGAAAGAAAGCATTCAGGATAACAACTGCCAACTCGGATCTCACTGACAAGATTTCACATGACTGAAAAAGAAGGCAATTACTAAAAGGATGTAGCAATTCTTTCCCGTACATAAAGCAGAGTGTACTGATACTCGGATTAAGCAAGGCAATCGCTAACTGCCTTCACCTAATTTTTTAACTAGTCCCTAGCAGTGAAGTCTTTGTCTATTTTCAATCAACTCCTCACTGTCACATAGTTTATAAAGATATTTTGTAATTAGACATGGAAAAGTCGATGAAGCTATTAACAGTTTTTCACAATGGAAGTTTGCTTCAAGAGTTTTCTGTACTCTGAGTGATAATAATCTGTCTTTGTCATTCGAGGGCTGTTTATGAAAACAACATTCAGTACCTGTCACCTGGAGTTTTTAAAGGCTTGACAAACATGCAGTCCATGTAAGTCTCTGTTTCTCATAATCGTTTTTAATCGACGCTAGTGAAGCTCTGCAAAACTGGGGTCTTGTGTGAGTGCAGTCGTCGGCATGTTCTGCATCTCCGTCATTTGAGAAGGTTGTGTCAAAAAGTACACACGAGTGACAACGACTGACCGCGAGTGGCCACGAGTGACCACTAACAACCACGAGTGGCGTGATCAAGGGGATGAAGTCATATTTTTGAGGGACATAATTTCATTGTCACTAAGTGATTTCATCTGAAAACTTATAGTTTCACCGTAGATAAACCATTTCCGAAGACTGACATATGCAAGCAATGTATCACTTCCTTCATTTAAAGGAAAGGTCCCAGAGCTACTTGGCTGTCAAAAATGTTACGTAATGAGCTCATATTCGCCTAGAATGCTGAGACAAAAGGAAGGTTACGAAAATGAATGGAAAGTAAATGAGCTATAAATACCGAAAAATACGTTGAAATATAAAACAAAAGATAAACCAAAACAGCGAAAACAAAGAAAAACGAAGTTGACGAAGACGGGCGACGAGTGATTGAAACAGGCTAAAAGATTAGTGTGGTGGGAAGCAGGAAGATGATACCACCCCTCCCTTCCTCTGATTACTGCTTACTAACTAGTTGCTCTTGACGGAGTCAATCATGGCAAGTAGTGGCCACCCGTGGTCGCTCATGGTCATTCAGGGTTACTCATGCTCACTCTTAGCCATGTGGTTACTCGTGGTCAATCATGGTCACTCGTGGATACCCGTGGTCACTCGTGGTCACTCTTACCCACCTGGGGTCACTCGTGGTCACTCGTGGTCACTTATAGTCACTCGTACCCACCTGTGGTCACTCGCACCCACTTGTGGTCATTCGTGGTCACTCGTGGTCAATCATGGTCACTCGTGGATACCCGTGGTCACTCGTGGTCACTCTTACCCACTTGGGGTCACTCGTGGTCACTTGCGGTCACTTATAGTCACTCGTACCCACCTGTGGTCACTCGTACCCACTTGTGGTCACTCGTGGTAACTCGTGGTCACTCGTGGTCGCTCGTGGTCGCTCGAGGTCGCTCGTGGTTATTCGGTGTTACTTGTGCTCACTCGCAGTCACTCATTCTACTTCTTTTAATCTAAATTTATGTTATCATGTTTGTCATGAAGGAGTTACTCTTTCATTCTATTGTCATTTGCAGGAGCTTTTATTTCAACAAAATCCGCACAGTGAGCAACGAGCAATTCAAAGATATCGCGCCAAGTATTCGATTCCTGTGAGTATGAACAAACTGGTACCATTCAAGGCGTAGGTGTGATTAAACCTCACCGAGAGTTAATTCCACATTCAAGTGAGAGTGCCCTTAATTCTCGGATAAGCGTCCCTCCCACCATCTTCACGGACACGTAATCTAATTGGCCGAATCATGCAAGTTGAGAGTTGCGTTATTCAAATTACCCATAGATACTTCTACCGTTATTCACACGCGAGTTTTATACTCCCGAAAACAATCACATCTGGCCATTGAAATACTTTTGAGAAAAATTAAATCAGGGCTTCCTCTCAATTAAACGTTCCCACTCAAGTAGATTACAGTAATATCGTATGTATACACATCTCTAGATATTAGGTATGTTTTGCGTACACAGCAATGAATCATTCCTATTAAGATAAGTGTGACTATGTTGGAAAAGAGGTCTTGGTTACTTGCTCTCTCATCTTTCAAGATGCCTATTTTTCCCATTACTTAGGGCGCTAACTGTATGGATATCAACGAAACTGAGGCAAACTTGTTCCTTCCTTCCCCTCTAAATCCCAGGGAGTCTCATAAAGTGTTCAGTGTTTAATTTTTGGGGGGAGGTAAGAATTGGGTGGAGCAAAGAAAAGATGAGAACACAAAGCTTGAAAATACTCATGCTCAAGACAGCGGCATCTTTATAAATTAGCGAGTGATGTTAACTTGAATCGCTGTCGTTTAATTTGCAGTTACCTCCATTACAACGAAATGCGAGAACTACCGGCCGGTTTCTTCTCGAACATGGAAAAGTTGACAACAGCGTAAGTCAGTGGCATATTCCGGATGTCTGGAGATGTCCAATTGAAAATTTTCTTTCATCTGTATATAATAAGGTAGCATGTAGAGTATTACTATCACCCTTCCATTGTCTTAAGTTCAGATATTGTGACGAATCAAAATTTTCCACTTTTTTTCCTCTTTTGTGATACATTTCAACTCTTTTTATGAACCGTAGGACTGTAGACACAAACCTGATGTGTTGCCATTTGAAGAAGGAGGACGCAGATTGTGACTTTGCTTATGTCGACAGCTTCGCCAGTTGTGAAACTATGTTCAGAAATAGAGCTCCTCGGATATGTCTCTGGGTGGTTGGAATTATGTCGTTGCTTGGTGCTGTGTTTGTGATCGTGTGGCGGCTGGTGTTTAAGGAGACGAAGAAGAAAAACAAAATACAGTCTATCATGTTGATACATTTGGCCGGGTCTGATGGACTGATGGGTGTCTACCTTATCATAATAGGTGTGATGGATGCCATTTGGGCAGGGCAGTATTTCTTGCATGATTATAACTGGCGTTCAAGTTTGTCATGTCAGATAACAGGTGCCATTGCCGTGTTGTCAAGTGAGGTGTCTGTAATGACAATTTGTTTGCTCTCCGCCGACCGGGTTAAGAATATTCTGTTTCCCTATCGTGGAAAGTCCCTTACAATCAAGGTTACGCACCTATTGTGCCTTCTTATCTGGATCGTTGGTGGCATAATTGCATTTATTCCCACGGTGGGCATCGTCTACTTTGGTAGTCGCCAAAAAGGTCACCACTTTTATGGCAGATCAGTTGTTTGTCTACCATTGCAGCTTTCCGCTGATAAGCCCTCAGGCTGGGAATACTCTGTCGCCATGTTTGTTGGGCTAAACTTTTCGCTTGTGTTCTTTGTCATTGTGGCCTATTCGATGATTATCTATCAGTCCTGCACATCAAACAGGCGCCTGGCTCAGCAAGGAACCGAAAGAGAGAGGAAAATGAAAGCCAAGAAAAGGGCAGCCAATCTGAGGAGGGAGGCTTCGCTCGCCAAAAGAGTGTTTTTCATCGTTCTTACCGACTGTGTCTGCTGGCTGCCTATCGTGGTGATTGGAATGAGGTCTCTCCTAGAAAAATCTTTCCGTACACCAGGTGACCTGGCAGTTTGGATCGCAGTCTTTGTTCTGCCGGTTAACTCTGCCATCAATCCCATTCTCTACACTTTATCAACAAAACAGGTAATAACTCGCAACCTTCATATATTTTTGCTTCAACTTGTTTCTGCTGGTAGATAAGCTGACATTTAAATGATACTTTCATAAATATTCGTTCCATGCCGTGAAGAATATAAAATGAACCAGGTTAAGTAAAAAGGAAAATTTGGGGTATTTGATATTTGAATGTTTTCGGATTGTCCTCGATCTTCCAGAACAAAAAACTTCCCGCACAAAAAACCCTCCCAAAAAAAAGAACGCCTCATGAACTTATTACCTTTTAACGATAAACAAATCCAAATAATGAGAAAATAATCCACCGACGCGCAATTTAAATCAAAACTTTTCTTGCCTGAATATCTCAATTGGTGGGATCTGCACAAAATGGAGGCTTCGAGGAATTTTTTCTCCTTTGAAAAGGGAACATTTTTCTGTTCGAATCAGCGACTTAAGCCGAAAGGAGCTGCTAAATTTGTCAGGCGACTAAGCTGCGAAATACTATTCCTTGAGTTATTCAAAAGAATGGTGGAACGGGAGAACTGAGAAACGGTAGAACAGTGGATCGGCGGAATTGCGTAATATGTTAGAACACAGAATGACCGAATACTTTTTTTGCAGAAAAAAAAGAGCCTTAAAAAAATGGAATTGCAATGAATAGGAAAATTATCTATGATTCACAGGCGAATTAAAAGAAGCATAGGTGTTTAATTTTGGAGCCCAGAGGATTGGAAATCATGAGTCTTTGGAGCTAGCCTCTTCAGTTAAATCATTATCATTATATTAACATTGTTAGTATTATTATTATTATTATTATTATTATTATTATTATTGTTAATACAGTGATTATTGGCTACCATTTTATTGCTGGTTGAATGTCAACCAGACAATACTTCAGTTCTTGAATCATCTTTCTCTTGTGGAACAGGGTACCCTTAAATATGTAGGATGCGTTTTCGCACGTGATACAAATATTCCGCAACTCTACGCGCTAGCGTCATTATCCAACCCCTAGTTTTTTTTTTTTTTTCAATGCCATAAAACTTGTGCTTCCCCAGTAACCACATGCAGTCTTTGACTGTCTATTATTTGTTCTTGATGGCTTGCATCTAGGTACGACGTGTTCTGAGTCCTAAATTCCAGCAGTTGTTGGGCTATTTGATGCAAAAGTGTGGACGAAATCAAAACAATGAAAGTAAGTTTATCGAAAACCACATCTTTGAGAAATAAGGACTATCATTTTGTTTTACATTTAAGACGCGGTTTCTCAAAAAAAACCCTTCTACTGAGGTTTACGTCAAAATATAATTAACGTTGATATTAGGTCAAGTAATGTTTTGTACAGTCTATGTCTGCCGAACAACCATAGGTATGAGAAATTCATTTCTCACTTTAAGCAACGCCCAGAGACAACCTTTACAAGTTAATTTTAATTGGTTTGATTTTCCTCGGTTGAGGGTAGTACTGGAAAGAACTGCTTTCGGTTACAAGGTTTTTTCAACGACCGACGTTTCGACAACCTGTAGGGGTTTCGAAGTCATCATCAGAGCCCTGCTTGGATTTGCATGTTTAAGAGTGGTCCTCTGTGATGTCAGCTTTAATTGATTTTAGTACTTAACTTGCAATTTCGTTTCACTAAATGTCAATAGTTCTTGAGATCTGATTAAGTGTTTTTGCCGCGCGATAACCTTCTGGCGATTGCACTTCTGCATGATTATCTTAAAACAACTGACTATCTTTGGAGACGCTGATTATTACTTCTTTTATGGTAGACCGATTAGCTCACTGATTTTACAGTCATGAGGGTAAATGCCGTTTGAAAATGTTTGATTAATGCCATTACTGTTTTTCAAAGGCCAAGATGAGGGCATGGAAATGAGAGTCATCGAAGAAGGTACGAAACATTTACTCAGCTCAAGTAAATATGGGGGAAAGTCGCTCGATCGAGGCGTAAATAGAGGTTCTGCCCTTAAGTGTCAGTGAGAAAGTGAAAAAATCGTACCTTGTCAACCAACTACCCCTTGGGTCGGAGGCCGGGATGGGCGAAGAAAAAAAAAACATATAAAATGACAGGAAATTAAATCCCGTTGATATCCGTCAGCTTCATTTAAACGCCAGGGTTACCCGGTAAAGTTTAAACGAAACGCCGCTGATGTTTAATGGAGAAACTACGTTATCAGCAGTGCTAACTAAATTGTTTTTACTTAATAGAGCTGCGACCAACATTGTTGTTCCAGTTAAGACTGTTAAAAAAAAATTACACAAGATCACTAAAATGTTATGATGCACCCTTTGATGGTAACTGATAGACTATAATTTGTACTTTAGGAAGTAGGACTTGCAGTACAGAGCACTTTTTACTTACAATTTTTTTCTTTCCAGTTCAAATCCATCGAGACGCAGAAAGTGATGACAGCGATGACACTGATGACGAATCAAAAGATCAAAGTGCGCATGTCCAGAACGCAGAGCAGACCGATCACGAAGAGCCTGAAGAGAGAGATGAGACTGAACAGGATGAACAACCGGAGGAAGACCACCAAGACCCATCAGAGCAGAAAGACGAACCTGAAAAACGAGAAAAAGAATCTGAACAACAACAAGAACAAGAAGAATCGGAAAACGAGTGTAAAGAATCCAAAGGGCAAAATGAAGATAACATTGAAGATGAGTCTGACAAACAAGAAGAAGAACTAAAAGGGGGTTTGGAAGAATCTGAAGAGCAAGATGAAAATAACATGGACGATGAAGCTGGAGAAGACGAACAGTTTATTATGAATAAGGGTATGTTTACCAACCCTCTGCTTCCTCTTAAAAAAGGATGATATTACTGATATTTAAATGMTTTTTTTCCATCAATTTGGAGGACTAATGGTGAACATCAGCTCCTCATTAATCACTACACAAATTTTTAGTTTCTACAATTTTGTCACCTTCCCTACCCAGCCTAGCAACATTCAGCGGTTTATTCCAATTCTGAGAGAAATTTTTGCTCATTGGAAAGCCTTTGTGCGGTTTTCTTTTCTGCAAAGCGACGAGGTGTTCTCGGGAAGCTCTTTTGTGAGGTTTGTGTCGAGCTTCGGTGCGCCAGTTTATATAACAATCTCGCTATGAATTACTCTGAGCACAGCGTAAGGGTTTCATACATGGAACTTTACTACATTTCTTCTTTCATCCTTGTGTCCTGTTATTATGCAACAGATAAACACCAAGCAGATGACAATCTCCCAGCAGCCTCAGGGCGAGAGTCTCCAAGAGCACCGCTGGCCACGTTTGACGATGACTGCGATCTTGATCACTTTTACGAAGCCCTGGATGGTCTAAAAGAAACGAGTGTGTAATCAACAACACTCTATTCTCAGATGAGTGTATTCTTTGTGGAGCAATTTTACTTCGAAATCGATAAAGTAGTTATCAAGGCACCTGCAGTAGTTTTCGTAAATGGTGTCAAAATACAAGCTTGTTGTTTTAAGTGCCGGTGTCACGCTAAATATAATACTGTAGTTAAATATTCGTTTGGATAAATGTAACGAAAATGGGTCATTTGAGAGGATTACTTCCTAGGGATACTAGTTGTCTCGCTTGAGTTTGGGCTATATATGCAGCACTTCATACATGTACTATTACAAATCAAAAGCATGTTGACTTCCTTCAGCCATAGTCTATTAACTATGCTTCAGCAGTAAGAAAGCTTTGAACTGTTAAAACTAAACTATTTTAAAAGCCCATCTCTGTCCTTTGTAATAACATTTAAGATTATTCTTTATTAATGAGAGTGAGCTTTAAAATAGACAAACAGTGTTTCCTGTCCCTTTTTGGAGTGAATGCCGTAAAGTTACCAACTCAAAACGTCATTCCAAAAGGCTGGCAGATACAGTTACCCTTCGCATTAATCTCTAAGGGCTTTTTCTTGATAAATAGATAACTTTTGAGTAGTCTTTTATATAATTATTTCAGATGTAGATTGAATTTCAGTTCAGTTAGTGTCAGGTGCAGAAAAAGTGGCAACATGTGGAGGTGTTTATATATAGGGTCTGATCAGAACAGCAGGCAAACTATAGGCTGCTAGAGAAAAGATTATTTGTCACTCCCTATATTTACTTGTCATTTGTTAAAACTGGTAAGATTTTAAGTACATGGCTGTGTTGTTTGGCAATGTTAAGCCATACATGGTATTTATTCAATCTAACACTGATATCAATACCTTAGTTATGATTTGTTCAATTCAATCTAAACATCTGAGACACTCAGTAGATGACTGTGTTGCACGACAATGTCAAGCCATGAGTCATAATAATTCAATTTCAATCAGTTACCACATATTGTTTTCTTACTTATGATTTGTTTAATGCAATCTTAACATCTTATGATATATTCTGTAGATGGCTGTTGTATAGCAATGATAAGCCATAATTTGCATTTATTCAATTTGAAGTTACCGGTACCTTCATTATCTTTTCCATTGTAAGCATTCAGTAGCAGGCTGTGTTGTATAGCAACGCTAAACCATGAATCATTTTTGTTCAACCTGAAGTTGTCTTACTCATGATTTTGTCATTACAGTGGTTACATCTGATATGTTTAGTAGATGGCTATGTTGTATTACAATGCTTAAAGCCATGAATCATAAATATTCCATCTGAATTTACTAATGATATCTTGCTCATGAATTGTTCTCATCACAATCATGGTAACTTCAACCATGTTTAATAGATGGTTGCGTAGTTTAACAATTGTAGGCCTTGAGTCATATTTATCCAATTTCAAGTTGCTTTTGATATCTTACTCATGATTTGCTCAAAAAAAAATGCTATATCTTAAGTAATTAGTAGATGGCCGCATTGCTTAACAATGTTATGCCATAATTTGATTTACCCCACTGCACGCATGCACCAAGTGCTCAGGTCAGATGATGCATGTGTATCTGGCTCACTTATTTATTCATTTGGATTTTTTGCTCTTTCTACTCTTAAGTAAATTATGCAGAAGCTTGTACAACTTGAAAGAAAAAAGGTGTTGCTGAATTAATGCAGAAAGACAGGAAGATGAACATCAACTGAGTGATATGTATCAGTCAAATCTGTGTTGGCCAACTGTCAACTAGCCAGTGAAGTCACTGTATATTGTCAAGCATATCTGCCTAAATAAATAAAATAAAATAAAAATTTGTGGTTTATTGTAGATAACTATCCATTAACCCATTGACCCCTAAGAATGACTAGCATCAAATTTCTCCTCACAATCACCCCTGAATCAAACAGTAAGGTCACTAGAATAAAGGAAATCATCACCAAATTAAGAAGCTCTGAAATGTTAACAAATTCTCCTTTTCAGTTCCCTAAAAAAATGTATAAGACAGTACATCGAGAATATGCATACTGATGTTAGATGTACATCTACCAGCTTAGAGGTCATGAGTGAATTTTGTTTAATGAAAACTTCCAGTGCATCAATTGAACTGCCTTAATAATCACAGATTATGCAAGGGCTGCTTGCAGCCTGTACTTTAATTAACAATTATTCCATGAGCGCTTGTTGGATAGCAGATGATAGATAGCCAACGAGGTGCGTAGCGCCGAGTTGGCAATAATTATCTCATATCCAACAAGCGCGGGTGGAATAATTGTTTTATTAAAAATGGCATATTAAATTATTAAATTTCATTCAATTTTTTAGCCCCCTTTTAATTTTAAGCTGAAGCGTACGCTTACCATATTTGTAGATTATGGTATATTGGCTCATATACCATAATGGCTGAGCCAATAAAAAGTCTTCAATTGCATTATCCAATGATTCAGCTTTTAATAGTGTGGATTATACGAAGATAAAGGAGACGACATATAACAGTGTTACCAACTTTTATTCGCTCCTAACAGCGGCCTTACAGCAATAAAACAAAACAAAAATATCAATAGGCCAGCGGCAACCCTCCATAGGCCATATACGGTCAGTGGTCCCTCTGTTCGGCGCCATTTATAATGAGCGGATCTGCAAGATAACAAACAAACAAACAACAACAAAACGAGTCCAAATATTGAGGCGGGAGGGAGGGAAACTTTATATGTCGTCTCCTTTATCTTCGTATAATCCACATGATACTACAGGCTGCAAGCAGCCCTTGCATAATCTGTGATTATACCTCAGAACAGTCACCTCCATATAACAGTTTCTGTTTAAAGGCTCTTCTGCTATGACTCATTTTGAAGATCCTAGTATTTAATGAGCGGATCTGCAAGATAACAAACAAACAAACAACAACAAAACGAGTCCAAATATTGAGGCGGGAGGGAGGGAAACTTTATATGTCGTCTCCTTTATCTTCGTATAATCCACATGATGCTACAGGCTGCAAGTTGCTCTTGCATAATCTGTGATTATACTTCAGAACAGTCACCTCCATATAACAGTTTCTGTTTAAAGGCTCTTCTATGACTCATTTTGAAGATCCTAGTACAGCTCAGCCTGGTTGAGCATCAAAGCTTGCGCGGCAATAGAACTTGTTAAAGGTCGAAGGACCTGAGCAATTTGCCAGAGTCAAAATTTGATGTAAAGATATACCTTCTTCAATTGCAGCAGTGGCTGCCGTACCCCGTGATGAGTGGGCTTTGAATATAGAAGTCTCAACTTTAGCCGCATCTAAAACTTCTTTCATCCACCGAGCAAGGGTGGAAGATGACACTGGTCTGTAAGGACGGATGTAAGAGACAAATAACTTGCATGTTTGAGACGTTTGCATTAGAGGCATTGGGCCGAGAGGCTTCTGTGTGTTTCTCATATTCTCCTAGACATTCAATAGGGCACAATCTAGGATTAGAAGGTAAACTGGCATGAAATGAAGTTTTAGCAGGATTTCCAATACATGATTTTTTTGTTAATTGGGGGAGAGTAAAAGAAACCTCTTCAGGGTAAAAACGTCTGAATATGAGGTCATGTGCAGCCAATTCAGACCCTTGTTCAGCAGATGTGAGGGCCAGCAGGACCACTAGTTTCTCAGACAGTTGTTTCAATGACAATTCTGAATTATCACCAAGGCCTTCTAAGTAGCTAGTAACCTGATGCACCTTCCATGTTTGAGTGTATCGTGGAAGGGGAGGTCTCTTGTTGAATATACCCCTCATAGCTTGACAAGCCAATGTATGTTCGCCAACCCTCAGAGAATCAATGGTTAGGTGGGTCATGGATATTGCTGAACGATAGACATTAATTGATCGGTATGCCTTTCCCGAGTTCAATTCTCTTGTAAGGAAATCTAAAACTACTGATAAAGGGGCTGAAATGGGATTAATCTGTTGTTGATTACACCAGCTAGCCCACTTTTGCCAAGCTTCCCTATAGGCACTTGAAGTGTTTTTTCGCCATGCAGCTATGAGCCGTGTTCCAGCCTCTCCAGAAATGCCTGTCTCTGAGTATGAACGGTTGAGACAAGCCTTCCTGCTAACTGAAGGTGGGTTAGGAGGTGATTTTCCCCCTGCCTGGTCAACAGATCTACAGGTTGTGGAAGTAACCGAGGGAAGTCGACACAGCGTTGGAGGAGTAGTGGGTACCAAGGCTGGGTTTCCCATACTGGGATTACTATGACTAATTTCTCAACTTGTTGGAGAATGACTTGTTTTAGGCATCTCCCTACTAATGCGAAAGGGGGAAAGGCATACCCCGTGAACTGAGCCCAGTCCAGGGTAAAAGCATCCACTGTGTCTGCCCCCGGATCTGGCCTCCAGCTTGCGTACCTTGGGATCTGGTACGATTGGCGGGATGCAAAGAGATCTATTTCCAGGGGACCCCAAAGTCTCTGAATACATTGGAAAATTTCTGGTTTGAGCTTCCAGTCGGAGTGGTCTACAACAGTACGCGACTCCTGGTCGGCCTGGAAGTTTTGGATTCCTAGAATGTGTCGCGCCATTATGTTTTGGCGTTGAAGACACCAAGACCACAGTTCGAAGGCAAGACTTGACAGAATGGGGGACCTGGTGCCCCCCATTTTGTTGATATATGTCACTGCTGTTACATTGCCTATGAGCAACAGAACCTTCGCATGAGTTTTGTGTTGAGTGAAGGCTTTCACTGCGAGAGCCCCTCCCATCAATTCTATGCAGTTGATGTGTAGTCTTTTGGATTGTGTCCAAAGGCCTCCCGTACGTATTCCATTGCAGACAGCTCCTCACCCTAGTAGCGAAGCATCTGTCTCTATTGTTAGATCTGGGTCCCCATGCATCAAGGCCTTGCCGTTTCAAGCCTCACTTTCACGGGTTTATTACGAATCAACTTAACGGCCTGCTCCCAGTTGGCTTGTTAGCTCAATTGGTAGAGCGCTGCACTAGTAGCGCAGAGGTCAGTGGTTCGAGTCCCTTACAGGCCTGATTTTTTTTAGGTCTGATTTTCGCTATTGCATAAATGGCGCTATCTACTGCGAGGATCGTGCATCATACGTATCTAATACCGCAGTTCAAAATATATGAACTTCATATATTCATTGTATCTCATTTATCACTTTCACGGGTTTATTACGAATCAACTTAACGGCCTGCTCCCAGTTGGCTTGTTAGCTCAATTGGTAGAGCGCTGCACTAGTATCGCAGAGGTCAGTGGTTCGAGTCCCGTACAGGCCTGATTTTTTTCAGGTCTGATTTTCGCTATTGCATAAATAGCGCTATCTACTGCGAGGATCGTGCATCATACGTATCTAATACCGCAGTTCAAAATATATGAACTTCATATATTCATTGTATCTCATTTATCACTTTCACGGGGAGTCTCAAATGATGACTCACTTTTCAGGAATGTGTAAAATCACAAAACAATGTGAATCCATCTTCAAGATGAACGATTTTTTCCGCGCTGAGGGCATCCGTCGATTAATCGCGCGGACACGGACTCATCCTCGCGAAAATGAGGCCTTGAGTCAGCGGTATCGTGTAAAACGCGTGACCGGATATAAAAGTGTGAGCTAAAATTGCAAAAACCGGGAATAAAGCTTGCTAAGTTGATAAACTAATATCTCGAAAATTAGTTCGGTGACCTACCCTGATTTTTTGTATACAAATTAATTTCATCATTACGCGTTCCTGAAGAAAATTTGAAGAAATTTTTAAAAAAAATTATCTAGTGGAAACTTTTTTACATTTTATAACAGCATTTTCCTAATTAATTCAAGTTCTACTTAATAGTTTATTTAATATCACGTATACTGGTAGAGAATGTGATGATGTTTAAGAAATTTAAAAAAAAAACTAGGTCGCCGACTTGGTTTTTGAGGTATCTTTCAAGAACTGAGTTTTAGGGGGACTTTTAGCACTACTGTACTATTGCCATGGCAACATATAATGCCTGACGAACCCCCTTAAAAGATTGCCCTAGCATAGTGTTATGCATATGTCAAGTCATTATCTTGATGACAAGTTTGACAGTCCTGATATCTTTTACTGCTTGACACTTACTGTTAATTGTGGAAAACCCATTCGAGCCTCCTTAATTAAGACTATTTGCCCAATTTGCGCAGCATCCCCACCACAGGCTTCATGAGCTTGGTGAAGACTCTCGGTGCACTGGCTAGGCCAAGGGGAAGGCAAGTGAATTCCCACATTGTGCCCTTCTGTAGAAATCCAGATACTTTTGATGGCCTACCCACACTGGAACAGTGAAATATGCGTCCCTGAGGTCCAATTTGACCATGTAGTCGTCTTTTCTTAAAAGGTCTCGCAGCAAGGGTATCCCTTCCACTTTAAAATGAGAATACTCTACAAAATTGTTCACGGCTTTCAAATTTATAACAGGCCTTTGACCACCACCTTTCTTGGGAACCATGAACAGGGAACTTACAAATCCTGGTTCTTTGTCTGTCACTGGGGCTTTGTGAATCGCCCCTTTGTCTTGCAAGGACTTGATCTTGAGACAGTGTTAATTCCTTACTAGATGAATCACTCATGGCAGTCAAGTGTTCAAACAGCATACACAAAGGTCCTATGATGTCAAGGACTTTGTCTAGCAAGAAGCGGTTCTCTTTATCAATTGCTTTCGCTCTCTGAACAAGAGTAGCAATGTAATCATCCAGTTCAGGAGTATAAACAGCATCAACATTAGGCCTGCATGGGATATTCACGGCACATAGTTTTCTCTCAAAGTTTGTGACAGGTTTTCTAGCAACAAGTCGCAGAAAACTGGAAAGTTCCTCGCTTGCCGCCCGATGTGCGGCTGAAGTACTATCATCAGAGGCAAGCGGCTCTGTATCGAGGGCATCCTCGTGGTCAATACTACGATCGTCAGAACCCGAAGTACCAGGGTTTGACGTATTCCACCGTGGCTTTTTCGGTGGATTAGAATCAATGATGT